TTCCCTCCAGCAGTGCAAAAGTCTTCCTCTTTCTCCATACTTCGCCAATCTCCGTTGTTTCCTGAGTTAATTTTAGCCATTCTGACAGTACCACCTGTCATTTTAAAAGAAACTTATTTAGATATTCCTTTGACTACTCCCCAGATTTCTGTTAAGTTTTGGTTTCTAATTTCTGCTACCATATTTTCCATTTGCAGCACATGGCATATCTTGCTTCACTTTCATGATGTAACATCTCTTTTTTTTTTAGAAAAAAGTTTATTTATTTATTTTTGAGAGTGGAGTGAGCAGGGGAGGAGCAGAGAGAAAGGGGGAGAGAGAATCCCAAGCAGGTTCTGTGCTGAGCCAAAACCAAGAGTTGGATGCTTACCCGATTGAGTCACCCAGGTGCTCTGAAAATATGTTTTATTACTGGTAAAACTTATGGGAAAATATGGATTTAGATTTGTTGCCAAGAGGGCCTATTTGCTATTATTTCTCCCCTAATATGTGCCCTCTGCAAGCAGACATACCCTAAAAAAGGAGGGAAGAAAAGGCTGGGTCCAGCATGACATTTTTGTTTTTAGACTCACCAGTCCAACAAGTTACTCCTTTTCCTTTGGGGCAGGTGAGGGGAGAGGGGTAAATGAAGGTCCATTGAGAGATGAGGAGCGTCACTCTATTAGAGGTTGCTCCAGTTGGACACCTGAGCCCGGGGAAAAGTTCCCTCTAACTCAGTTATGCTACCTGCACCGTTTCTGGTTCTCTGAATTGACTTCTGTCGCCACCCTCTGAGCTGCTCTCTGCCATTCTTAGAGTGATTGCAAGAACATGTTGCGATAGTGAGACGTCACACACAGAAGACACTGGGAATCAGATGGTGGCAGACGCCATGGGACATCACAAGGTCTTTGGCAAGGAGAGAAAAATAGAGCAGAATGATGACAGTCCGTCCAGAAACTTCAGATCACATCACCATCCCCCTTCTGGAAATTTAACAATTTGACCCTAAAACTTAGTATTTATATATTTAACTGTACTTAAATACAGCACAAATCATCTTTTTTTTTTTAATGTTTTATTTATTTTTTTTTTAGGAGAGAGAGAGAGAGGCAGCGTGAGCAGGGGAGGGTAAGAGAGAGAGGGAGTCACAGACTGAAACAGGCTCCAGGCTCTGAGCTGGCAGTCAGCACAGAGCCCGACGCGGGGCCCGAACCCACGAACCGCGAGATCATGACTTAAGCGAAAGTCGGACGCTTAACTGACTAAGCCACCCAGGCGCCCCAGCAGCACAAATCATCTTAATTGACCTTTATTTAAGCAGCATATAGGATTAGCTGAAGCTCTCTTTTTCTCTATACACTTTGTTGACCGTTGGTCAATGCTGGTAGTTGTGTACTTCTCCTCAGTATGCCTACACTCTTCTCACACTTGTCCACATCCTTTCCAAGAGTTGTTGTCAAATCTGTTTATACCACTTATACTTATTATAAGTATGTGATTTAATTAGTTATTATATAAACTGATGAAACATGAGTAAGAAGAGAAAGCTACTTTAGTGAAAACTATTTTAAACCTTCTGACAGATTGTATAAAGGCAAATTGCTAAAAATAGTTGCTTTTGAGTTAAGCATGAATGAAATAGCCGTAAGAGATTAGGGAACAGCCTACAGGTCTAGAAGGATTCTGCCTTCTCTCTGCTCTGCTGGTGTCTGTAAGTGCTTGTCCCAACTTAAACGGATGATAATGTACATTATGGATTTGTTTTATGCAGGAAAAAACAAATATCCTGCCCATGAACTTGGAAGTTAAGATTTCCTTTTTGAGGGGCGCCTGGGTGGCTCAGTTGGTTAAGTGGCTGACTTTGGCTCAGGTCATGATCTCGTGGTTCGAGCCTCGCATCCAGCTCTGTGCTGACAGCTCAGAGCCTGGAACCTGCTTCAGACTCTGTGTCTCCCCCTCTCTCTGCTCCTCCGCCACTCCTGCTCTGTCACTGTCTCTCAAAATTAAATAAACATTAAAATTTTTTTTAAAAAATCCTTTTTGAGAGTTTAACTACATGGTCAATACAAAATGGATGAGATCTAAAATAATCAAAATCGGGGTACCTGGGTGGCTCAGTTGTTGGGCATCTGACATCGGCTCAGGTCATGATCTCAACATTCTTGGGTTTGAGCCCTGCATCAGGCTCGTTGCTGTTGGGTGTAGAGTCCTCTTTGGGATCCTCTGTCTCCATCTCTCTCTGCCCCTCCCTTGTTTGTGCTCTCTCTCTCTCAAAAATAAATAAACCTAAAAAAAAAAAAAATCAAATGCTTAGATAGACACACTGCTGCCGTGGGTACTTTTGCCCAGCCCAAGCAGGTACTGACATTTTAAAGAAAGAATGTGTCTGTCAGAGGGTTTGGTCTTGGTGGTGATGGGAATAGGGAGAAGGAGATAGATAGGCCAGGACTGTAGAAATAGACAAAGGAGAGATAGAGGGGCAAATGTTGGGCAGAGCCCATCCAGGACTTGGGGAAGCTTGTGCTCCGGCCTGAGGTCACAGCCTGCTTGGTCCTGGGCCAGGTATAGCACTCATATGGATTCTTAGGGTTACCAAGGCCTGATGCCTTTGGGTGCCTGAATCTTCCAACTGACCTCCTCGATTCTGATTTCATCCTCACTAACATTCTACTGCTTACAATCTGGCTTCTCAGTGTGCCAAGCATGTGCTAACACAAATGTGTTCATCACCACTCTGGTTATCACTGAAATTAAGTAATCTGCATCTCAGGGTATCTAAACACACCTGAGTTAGGGGGCACCTGGATGGCTCAGTTGGTTAAGTGTCTGACTTCGGCTCAGGTCATGATCTCATGGTTCGCGGGTTCAAGCCCCACACTGGGCTCTGTGCTGACAGCTCAGAGCCTGGAGCCTGCTTCAGATTCTGTGTTCCTCCCCCCTCCCCCACTCCTGTCCGCTAGCACTCTGTCTTTCTCAAAAATGAATAAACATTTTAAAAATTTAAAAAAAACCTCGAAACATCTAAGTTAGGTTATTAGGACTCTGCTTCCCAGCAATGACTCTATTCTTTAAGTGCTGACAGCATCAGGTTCTATATGCAGGCGTTTAGAGCCAGGCTCCAGACTATGGTCAGTTGACAGAAAGCTGCTGGTGGACAGGCAGCTAGAGGCTCCCGGGCCTTCTGCAGATGCCCACTCTTGGAATCTGCGCTCTTCAAACTTGTCAAGCCCTGGCCTTCTGGCTTCTCTGCAGGACTCTGTGGCTCTTTGGTCATTTCTAGAATTGAATCAGAGCTAAAACAAGAGTCTAGGTCATAATGAGTGATGAAGAGTTTCTTTGAAAGCTTCCTTGCTAAGGCACCTTGGAATTTGACTATTTATTCCAAATATATAACAATGTTTCTAGGCACAGACAACACCTACCTCTGCAGGTATAGACCTTTAGGAGTTTTGTACTGTTAAAACTTGTTCTCCAGAGCTTTTAGGCTGTACATCGAGCCTGTTTGTGGTAAGAAATGTCAGAGTCGTGATGGAACACTTTGAGTTAACATGCACAGTGCACAGAATATCAAGTGCATAACCCTTCACGTAGGTTTGTTTTACGTCTTTCAGCAGCCATGCTTTTACGAAGAACGTATCCATCGCGGAGGGCTGCATGCATGGTGATAACTTGGTTACAGCCCCCCAGGCCTCTGCAGGCTTCCTCTTTCCAGATATGCAACAAAACACAGTGGCCTGGGTCATGGGGAACAGGAGCCATCAATGATGATCAAATTAGCTGGATAATGGCCAGGTACCCACTTCACTCTAGGTGGCAGGAAACAATGCTCTGGAGCTGTTTAAAGCTTCCCAAAATTGGCGAGTGTGGGTATAAGCCTGAAGTCCTGTTAACTATTTCCTATATATGTTGAGACAGCTTGAGAAAAATGTTTCAAAATTCAGACAGCAGAAAGCTTACACCACTCACTGCATCCTCTGATTTGCCAAATGACTGTTCTCCTTCAAACCATTCAGTTTGCCTCTCCAGGAAAATGTATTTTCCATGATGTTAAGTACAAAAAGCAGTTGACACACTTCACTGGTTTATATTGGGCAAATCTGATGATACATTTGAAGTATTTTTAAAACATTTTATTATGAAATAATTTTATATTTTTGAAAAAGATATAAGAAAGTATAAAGAACGTTTGTACAGCCTTCACCCAAATTGTGATCAATTGTTAACATTTCGCTACAAATGCTTTCATTCCAAATCTCTCCCCTCCTCCTTCTCCTCCTACCCTTCTTCAAACACACACACACACACACACACACACACACACACACACGCACACACAATGATCTTTTTATGGACCATTTGAAAGTAGGGCCATCATGCTCCCTTACCCCTAAATACTTGTCTGTGTTTCCTAAGAAAAGGGCATTCACTTATGTAACTGGAGTATAAATATGAAAAGCAAAAACTTTAACACAGATACAACACTGCTATCTAATTTACAGACTTACTCAAATTTCTCCAGTTGTCTCAGTAATGCCCTTTATAGCAAACTTTTTTATTATTATTTTTTTAAAGATCCAGAATCACACATGGTATTTAATTTTCTGCTCCTCAAAGTCTTTTTAGTTTAGAACATTTCCTCAGGCTGTCTTTGTTTCCGTGAAACCGATCGTGTTCATGAGCACAGGACAACTATTCTATAGACTGTCCCTCAAGTTGGGTTTTTGGCCTCTCTCCTGATTATATTCATGTTGCCCATTTGACATTTTGGGTCCCGGGTGTAGGCTCATGAATGTGTTCCCATGGTTGGTGATGTTGGCTTCCATCACTTGGCTACGCAGGCGATGACTCGCTTTCTCCACTGTAAAGTTACTATTTGTTCCCTTTGTAATTAGCAAGTCACTGGTGAGGAGATGCATTAAGGTCTATGTTAGGATGCTGTCCCCTGCCCTGGTTTCCACGTCCTCACTCTCCTCTGGGAAGGGGCGTTTCACGCATGCTGTTTGTTCCTCCTTCCCCAGTGGTGATCATGTGTGCAAGCAGCGACACCATCCGGGGCATCATGCTGGCAGCGCACAAGCACGGGATGACCAGTGGAGACTACGCCTTCTTCAACATCGAGCTCTTCAACAGCTCCTCCTACGGTAACTGCCTTTCCCCTCTCCCCTCCCTCGAAGGTGTCAAAACGAGGTCACAAGAGTTTGAATTACGTCCATAGATTCAAAGGATCCATAGATCCTTTGAATCCATAAAAAGGATTTTAGAAATTTGTGATATGAACACTCCCAGGACTTCTTGTAAGTTCTCCCACTTTCTTCTCTGAGAACTCAGCAAGCAGGTACCTCATACTGGTGATGGCAACAGACTTGTTTGGGAGCAAGGATAGCTCTCTCCAGCCCTCCAGATGGTCATAAATCTCAGCCCTAAAGACCCCTCCTCAATGTGTTTCCAACTGCAGGTTGTTACCACGATTGACTATTGGAATAATGTTAGTGAGATTTGGGCATAATTTTTGATAGTATAGACTAGACTATATCAACATAATAAAATATGCCAAAGTGTATCACACATTGCACGTGTATTATTTCATAAAACTTTTATTTTGGTAATATAATTGTATGTGTGTGTTTGTTTATGCATGTTACACATATGTTTGTAATGGGTTATAGCGTGAAAATAAAACAACTGTTACTGTAAATTGAAGTAAATCGTTTGAAAGCTACTGCTCCCAGGCCCTCTTCCTTCCAGATTACTGCCCATTAAGCTTCTCTTTTGTAGAAGTTTGAGATCCACCAACACATATGATTGAAAGAAGAATATAATTAAAAAAATTTTTTAAACATTTGTGTACTTTTGAAAGATACAGAGAGACAGAGTGGGCAGGGGAGGGAGAGAGAGGGAGAGAGAGAGGGAGACACAGAATCCGAAGCAAGCTCCAGGTTCTGAGTTGTCAGCACAGAGCCCGATGCGGGGCTCAAACCCACAAGCCGTGAGATCATGACCTGAGCCCAAGTTGGGCGCTCAACTGACTGAACCACCCAGGTGCCCCAAAAGAATATAATTTCTTAAAATGGATGTGGGGAAGTTCCCAGTGTTCCTGTGCTGAAGGGTGTTTAAGAAACCCATGAAGATCGCAGGTACAACACATTTCCTCCATATGTGATTAGGGCTCTCTCTGAAGGGGACAGCATAGGGCAATGGGACATTTTCTCAAGTACTGCACCTTGGCTGCTCGAAGCTGAGCAATTAGAGGGAATCGTAAGTGTGCTTATTGCAAATGGCTTGTATATGCTGAACTCTACTTCCCAGTTCTTGCTATTGAGATACAGTTAGATGGGATATAAACCCCGAAGCATCCCGCTCAGTTTCCTGCTCTGATACCCTGGCTTATTCAAGCAACCCAAGCAATAGAGCATTGCACATAATCAGATAATAAAACACAGTTCTCACAGGGATAAACAAAAGTAGCTTCTGCTTCCTGTAGTGGATAAGATTGGAGATTTGAGGCTTGAAGGATAAACATCCATTTTTCCCCCTCCTTACTGCCACCTTTGTCTTTCTCCTTCTCTTTGCATAAGCAAAGTGGTGCTTTTACTTTTTGACCACAGATCAACATGTAATTATGTTATTGGCTATAGCATTGAGTTCACTGAGATAGTGGTAGACTGGTGAAAAATGAAAAACATCCTGAGTTTTGTAAGTTGGTAACACATAGTATTTGTTTGGAGAAAATGATGTGAATGCACATTATAAAGGGCCAGTGCAATGCAAATATAAAGAACTAGAATTTCTTGCATCTACAGGTAAAGCTTGTATTACTTTTCCTTGCTAATGATAATACATGAATATTACAGAAAATCTGAGAAACATAGAAAATCATAGGGAAGAAAATAAGTTACTATAATACTGCCACCCAGCTAAACATATATTGATATTATGTAGAAGTATGTATGTCTTGCTTATTTGATAAAAAAACAGGGGCACCTGGGTGGCTCAGTTGGTTAGGCTTCCGACTTCAGCTCAGGGCATGATTTCTCAGTTCATGAGTTTGAGGCCTGCATCGGGCTCTGTGCTGACAGCTCAGAGCCTAGAGCCTGCTTTGGATTCTGTGTCTCCCTCTCTCTCTGCCCCTCCCCCGCTCACACTCTGTCTCTCTCTCAAAAGTGAATAAACACTGGGGCGCCTGGGTGGCTTAGTTGGTTAAACGTCCGACTTTTGCTTGGGTCATGATCTCGCGGTTCGTGGGTTGGAGCCCCGCGTCGGGCTCTGTGCTGACTGCCAGCTCAGAGCCTGGAGCCTGTTTCAGTCTGTGACTCCCTCTGTCTCTGATCCTCCCCTGCTCACGCTGTCTCTCTCTCTCTCCTAGAAATAAATAAAACATTTTTAAAACAAAAGTGAATAAACATTAACAGTATTTAAAAAAATTTAAAAAACATATTTACAGAAATATTTTCCAATAAAATGGTGATACTATTTCAAGTGTGGCTACATTGTATTTTATAATGCTGATATGCCATCTTTATGTAAATAGTCTGTCATTTTTCCGTATTTACGCTGTTCTTAGCTTTTTACTCTTAGGAACAATGCTATATTGAGTGGCACATGCACATACACGTAGTTATACATCTATATGATCTGTAGGATAAGTTTCCTGAAGTAGAATTTCTGGGTAGAAAGTTCTCAGTTTTGATAGATAATGCCAAGTTGACTTCTAAAGAGATTTACCACTTTATGCTTTTGCAACAAACTATGAGTTTGTCTGTTTTTCTGCATCCTTACATCATCTAACTTTAAAAGTTTTTGTATATTTGAATTTCTTTTTATGTTCACAAGCAAAGGTTTGCAGTTTCTTTATTTATATTCTGTACCTTTCTTGTTGAGTTCATTCTTAGATATTATGTTTTCTGATTGTTATTATGATGGTGGTCTTTTCCCATTACATTTTGTAATTGTAGTTGTTATGTAGATAATCTATGAGCTTTTATTTACTTATTTTGCAAGAATTCCACATATTAAATCTTCTGTTCCGGTAGTTTTTATATCATTTTCATATAGCAACAAGAGTTTTTCCTTCATTTTGACAGTTGAATATCTTATTTTTCTTTTCTTATTGCATTGGCAGGAACCTCCAGAATATTATATTAACAATGGTGACACATAAATTTTTGACTATTTGAATTGAAGTAGATGTTAAAGTATCCTTTCATTTCTAGTTTATTGAGTGTGGTTTTAAAAATTGGAAATGAGCAGCGAATGTTATCAAATACACTTGACATATACTTTTAATAAATTTCCTAATATTGAGCCATTGTAGTATCTTGGAATTAAGTACACTTTGTCATGATGACTTTTTTAGGTGCACTGCTGATTTTAAGTTTTTAGAATCTTACTTAGGATTTTTAAGTCTATATTCGTGAGTGAGATTGGACAGTAGTTTTCTTGCCTTGAGATGGTATTGCCAGATTTTAATATCAGGTTTATATTAGCTTTATAAAATTAATTGGGACACTTTCCATTGTTTTTGTGCTCTAGAACAGTTTATATACCATAAGAATATTCCTTGAAAGATGGAAACAATTCAACTCTGTATCTGGACCTAACTTCTTTTTAGAGGTAATTTTTGAAAAACTTAAAAAAATAATTTTGTAATAATTTTAGACTTACAGAAAACTTGCAAAAATAATATACAGAGTTCACGTATATCTTTTACCCAGATTTCTCTAATGTTAACAACTTAAATAACCATAGTGCAATTATCAAAATAAGAATATTAACATTGGCACAATACTACTAACTAAACTATACAAGTCTTATTTGAAATTTACTACCTTTCCTCCTAATGATCTTTTTCTGTTCCAGGATCCAATCCATTTAGTGGTTATATCTCCTTAATCTTTACCAATCTGTGATATTTTCTTAATCTTTGTCACTTATGACCTGACACTTTTGATGAGTTTGTTATTTTGTAGAATGTCTCCCAGTTTGGATTCATCTGTTGTTTTCACATGGTAAGACTGAGTTTATATTTGTTTGGCAAGAATACTACAAAAGTGATACTGTGTCCTTCTCATTGCATTATATCAGTGTATGATCAGTGTATAATTTTGGGTCAACTTTTTAAAACATATTTTTCCATGAATTCAGTTTTTCTGCTTCTTGAAAACTTAATTGCAGAGTTATACAGTGTACCCTATACAACCTACAAAGTGTCCTCGGTATTTCTGACTAGGTTCCCTTTCTTTTTTACCTGATGGTTGTCAGGTTTTGGGCTCTGGCATCAGTCTCTCTGAGGGGCTGTGCTCTTGGCAAATTGATGCAACCCTGCCCTCCCCCACAAGTCTTGGTTTCTTCTAATGATAATAATAGTACTTATCTCATGGCTTCACATAAATAAGGTAATGTATGTGAGATACATAGCAAACTTCTTGAAACATAATGAATGTTTAATAAATATTAGCTTTATTATTAGTCTTAGTTTACTTTGATGATTATAGTTACTCAAAAAATGGTAAGTTCATACATTTTTCTTGCTATAGCTTTATAGATAAGTTTAGGCCATACATTCTGTTAACAAATTAACCAGCTTTTATCTAAAACAGCCTAAGAATGTATGTAGGTACATTAGGAGTTACTTCCCACCTATATGGATTTAAACAAATGTAGAGCTTTATCCTCTCACCTGTCCAGAGGTGGGCAGTCAAGAACAGAGATGGTGGTTCCTTAGTGTCATCAAGGATGGACATTTCTGTTTCCTGGCTCCCTTAATCTTAGTGAGCAGTGTGCATCCTCAAGATCACAAGATGGTGGCTAGGACTCCAGAGATTGTGTCTTCGATCTAGGCAGGATGAAGGGGGAAAGAGACCATCTCAGTTGATTCAATTCTGTTTGAAGGTCTCTCTGGAAACCCCTCTCATTAGCTTCTGCTTGTATATTATTTGCTACTCCTAGTTGTGAGGGATGCCAGGAAATGTTTGCTTTCAGCTGGGCTCATCAGTTTAGCTGGGCTCATCCCCAAATCAGTTTAGGAATCTGTTACTAAGGGAGAAAGAAGAATGGATGGAGGGAAACAAATGTCCATGTTGGCCACAGACCCTGAGCCCTTTCCTCCTTAGAGTAGAAGAAGTAAACAGAATCTTATGGCAGG